CTTTGCAAATCCTCGTACCTTAGGTGCAGCAATCGAGGCTTACGTATTGTGGCCACATTGCCTGCCTGAGACCATACGTACCCTGGGTAGGGGTGCAGCACTGAAGCTACATATCAGAAAGGAGTCTCTATCACACATCTGTGTATCCGACATTATTAAGTTGGGGGACTGGCCTGTCAGGTGCCGACAGGTATTGTCGCAGGAGGAGGAGTCTCGAGCCCGGTATGGGAAGATTGGCCCAATTGACCAGAGTGTAGATGTGGATGACATCCAGGCCGCTCTGCAGGTATTAGGGGGTGCATCAGCGATATTATTGGAAGTTACCAGGATTCGCGGAGCAGCAGGGCCGACATCCATGGTCCGTGTAAAGTTCGATGGGCACCTCCCTGACCGAGTGGCACTACACAGGACCTCGTATCAGGTTCAGCCCTACAATTTCCCTGTGTTACGATGTTACGCTTGTCATCTATTGGGCCACAGTCGCCTGACCTGCCGTAATGCAGCACGTTGTGCAAACTGCGTCAAAACAGGCCATTCAGACAGAGATAACGGTGGGTGCTCTGCTGCACCTCGCTGCTTTTTATGCCATGGCCATCATAAGGTTACGTCTAAGAGTTGCCCTGTATATCTTGAGGCCCTCCAGTTGGACATCGATCATAAAACAGTGGGGACACCTCGACATGAGCTGTTCCAGAAGTTGCGCACCCTCAATCAGCCTATCGCTTCTCGCCTCCAGGTTCCCCCTGGTCGGGTCTCTTCACAAGTAGAAACTAGCAGACGCTCTTGCCTGTCCCAGTCACATGCCTCATACGCCCAGATTGCTAATCGATTTTCCCTCCTGGGTAGCCTTGACACTGACGGAAACTCATCCACGGATACAGACATGGACGCTCAGTCTCGGCCGGAGCCTAGCACTCGTTACCCTCCTGCCTCTCCTCAAAGAAGCCAACACCGGGGTCGTCGACATACCCATCGATCAGGAGGTACTGCCCCAACAGACAGTCCTGATGATCCTCTGGTCCCCCAGGCACTTTCCCAAGGGATTGTGACACCGGGGGAACATGAGGCCCAGAGTGAGGCTCCCACCAGTCGCAGACGCCGTCAAGAGAGTTCGCGAGCCGACCACCGCTTCCGTCAGGCAGAGAGAAGCATAGATCAACATCCTCTGGACTGGAAGTCATTGATACCACACATTTTACTTACTTTGTATGAGGGTTTTATGGCTTTTTCTAGTGGTTCCCCCTTTGGAGACGTCTGTGCACTGGTGGTCAAAAAGTTAGCTGTTGTATTTCAGGGAAAATGGCGCCCCATCCTGAGAATACTGTGGTGTTTTGGAATGCCCGCTCCCTTTTAAGAAGACGCAATTTCTATGCAATTTTGATTCCACCCCGCGTCCATGGACTCGTCATCATTCTCGACTCCTCGACACTGCCATCACTCCTCTCCGAATTGGGCACACTTGCCTGGCCGCACATCTCCATCGTCTACGGCTGGTAGATTCCCCATACTGCCAGTGGTGTCCGACCCAGGAGGATACAGTGGCGCACCTTCTTCTTCACTGCCCTCGATTTCATAGCGCTCGCGTCAGACTACAGAGTGCTGTTCGTAGGCTGAATATTCCCCCTCCTCACAGTTCCCGTTCTCCTTGACGGGGCAGGTGCGAGAGATGAAGACGTTCGTCATGACATCCTTTGCCATACCTTCTGCTTCATCCGTCATGTCCGTGGCCTGAAGTGACTGTAAAATATGTGGCATGAGGAGATTGTAGGGTCTATGGCCTGAAGAGACTATAGGGACCCCATCCCTCCGCTATTTCCCGGTATCGGGCAGCCGGGGAGCATCCGATCCCACGAACGTCGTCGCCCCTAAATCAACACAACAACAACAACTTAAGAGTACGTAGTTTGTTACCAGTAACAGACGACCAAGAAGCCTGCCAACGGGTAAGGACGGAGGAATGGATAACCGGGTAAAAGTCGGAATATGGAATACCTTTACGAGAGATGGGACAAGAGCGGACAGCTTCCTTGGCGGCAGCATCCGCACGCTCATTTAAAGACACACCAATATGGCTGGGAACCCAACAAAACTCAACCGACTTAAATTTACTGTGAACAAGAAACAGCCAATGCTGGTTCTCGACAACTACTGGATGAACCGGATTAAAGGACCCGAGAGTCATGAGGGCACTACGAGAGTCAACAACAACTACAAAGGAAGACTGACAACGAGAAAGCAGGAGACGAAGAGCATAGAGAATAGCATAAAGCTCCGCTGTGAAGATGCTAGTCTCCAGAGGTAAGCGACACATATAAGTGCGATCAGGAAAAACAACAGAGTAGCCAACACCGTCCGCAGACTTAGATCCATCGGTGAAGACAGAAACGGAGCGGAAGTGAGAAGAAAAGTGCTCAAGTAAAAGGCGTTTTAGAACCGTAGGAAGGGTTAAAGGTTTAGTGACGTGGGTCAAGGATGTACAAAACCGCGGAAGAGGGACTCTCCACGGGGGCAAAGAAGGAACAACACGAGGAGAAACATTAGAAATACGAACGGAAAAAGAATTCTGTAGGCGAGATAACCGGACAGAAAGAGGGAGGTGGTGAAGAGGAACAGGAACCGCAGGAGGGAGAAAAATTAAAGCACGACAGAGGCGAAAGGAAGAATGTTGTAAGGACCGCGCAAGATAGCGAAGACAGTAGCGATCACGGCGGTCCTGGAGAGACAGGAAGCCAGTGTCAATATACAAGCTAAGGACGGGAGTCAAACGAAAGGCACCAGAACTGAGGCGCAACCCAGTATGGTGCAAAGCATCAAGACGGCGAAGAGTAGAAGGAGAAGCAGACGAGTAAGCAGGGCAACCATAATCGAGCTTAGACAGGAACCTAGTAGTAAATAGGTACCCCTGGGAGTTAGACAGATGCTGTGGGCTGTTTCATGGGGATGTGTAACAAAAAGGAGGCCTGGTCGAGAACTGGGCCGCGGGGACGCTATGCCCCGATATCATCTCAAGATAATTGAGATACAATCTCAGATTGTATCTTTAATTCTAGTAAACGGCTAACGATTTTATCATTGCGTTTGAATCTCCATGCATTTGTCTAAGGTTAAGCGGAGCAACGAGCACAACTGAGCAAGTAGCAGGCTGGAACGGTTATACCACTGTAATTTAGAGGTATTATCTAGCCTTATGCGAGCAAAAGGCCGATTGGCAACCTTTGGCAGTTTTACCTTTGTAGCGGCAAGTCGGACAAGAGGAGCCTAGTTCCTGGTACATGTGGGCATCGTGGATCAAGATATAGGGAGCGGCTGGGTTACTTTACTCGACACGGGTTCAAGGCCGGGTTCAAGGAACTCTAACCCCCGTGGGCAACTAAGATGCTTCCCCTGGGTGGCCAGTGGCACTAAGAGGGAAAGGAGAAGACCCGAGGTGGGAGGGCTAGAGAGAGTGTGCTACAGCTCTATACTACTACTACTACTACTACCACTACTAGTACATACTAACATTTTTTACCACAAACTGGCGACTTTGTCAGGATACTTACTGATGTTCCAGTTTGATTTATAAGTGCTGTTCAGTATGTACTCAGGAAACATAGAAGGAGGTGACGAAGGTGACAGAATTTATTGAGAGGTCTAGAGATGAAAGTGTGCTTGAGACCTGCACTAAGGACCAGCTTCGACAAGTGGCTGACCACTTTGGCATTAGGCGTACGCCGGCTAGAGAAGCTGAGAGGCTACTAGAGGAAATGGAAATCCACAAGAGTGGCAAGTGAAAGTCGCAATTGTGTTGGAGAGTTGGAGATGTTGACTCTGCAACTGTAGGTACAACGAGAAGAACGTCAGGCCCAACTGTAGCGGGATCGACAATAGAGCAGGAACAGCGTGATGCACAGCTGCAGCATGTGGAACGTGAACCACAGCTGCAGTAGGAGGAACGTGAAGCACAGCTGCAGCGGGAGGAACTTGAAGCACAGTTGCAGCATAAGGAACGTGAAGCACAGCTGCAGCACGAGGAACGTGAAGCACAGCTGCAGCGGGAGGAACGTGAAGCATAGCTGAAGCGTAAGGAACGTGAAGTTCAGCTGCCGGGGGAGGAACGTGAAGCACAGGTGCAGCGGGAGGAACGTGAAGCACTGCTGCCGCAGGAGGCACGTGAAACACATCTGCAGCGGAAAAAAGGTGAGCCACAGCTGCAGCTGGAAGAGCGTGAGACACAGCTGAACTAGGAGAAACGTGAAACACAGCTGCAGCTGGAGGAACGTGAGAGACAGCTGCAGCGGGTAGAACGTGAGAAACAGTTGCAGCTGCAGGAACGTGAGACAAAGTTGCAGCTGAAGAAACGTGAGACACAGCTGCAGTGGGAAGAACGTAAAGCACAGATGCAGCAGAAGGATCGTGAAGCACAGATGCAGCATGAGGAACGTGAAGCACAGCTGCAGCTGGAGAAACATGAGAGACAGCTGCAGCTGGAGAACCGTGAGACACAGCTGCAGCGGGAGGAACGTGTAGCACAATTGCAGCTGGAGGAACGTGAAGCACAGCTGCAGCTGAAGGAACGTGAAGCACAGCTGCAGCTGAAGGAACGTGAAGCACAGCTGCAGTGGGAAGAACGTGAAACAGAGATGCAAAAGGAGGAACATGCGAAAAAGCAGCAGCTGGAGGAACATGAAGCACAGCTGCAGTAGGAGGAACATGAGACAAATCTGCAGCGGGAGAAACGTGAGACACAGCTGCAGCGAGAGGAACGTGTAGCACAATTGCAGCTGGAGGAACGTGAAGCACATCTGTAGCTGGAGGAACGTGCAGCACAGCTGCAGCAGGAAGAACGCGAAGCACAGCTGCAGCTGAAGGAACGTGAAGCACAGCTGCAGTGGGAAGAACGTGAAACAGAGATGCAAAAGGAGGAACATGAGAAAAAGCAGCAGCTGGAGGAACGTGAAGCACAGCTGCAGTAGGAGGAACATGAGACACAGCTGCAGCAGAAGGAGCGTGAAGCACAGATGCAGCGGGAGAAACGTGAACCACAGCTGCAGCAGGAGGAACGTGAGACGCAGCTGCAGCAGGAGGAACGTGAAGCACAGCTGCCGCGGGAGGAACGTGAAGAGAGGCTGAAGCGGGAGGAAAATGAGACCCAGATGGAGCGGGAGGAACGTGAAGCACAGCTGCAGCGGGACGAACGTGAAGCAAAGCTGCAGCTGGAAGGACGTAAAGCAAGGCGGCAGCGGGAGAAACGTGAAGAACTGTTGCAGCAGGAGGAACGTGAAGCACAGCTGCAGCAGGAGGAACGTGAGACAGAACTGCAGCGGGAGGAACATGAAGCACAGCTGCAATGTTAGGAACGTTAAGCACAGCTGCAACGGGAGGAACGTGAAGCACCGCTGCAACGGGAGACGTGTGAAGCACAGCTGCAGCGAGAGGAACGTGAAACACAGATGCACCCCGAGGAACGTGAAGCATCGCTGCAGCGGGAAGAATGTGAAGCACAGCTGCAGCGGGAGGAACGTGAAGCACAGCTGCAGGACGTGGAATGTGAACGTGAAACACAGCTGCAGCTGGAGGAAAATGAAACACAGCTGCAACGGGAGGAACGTGAAGCACAGGTGCAGCAGAAAGAACGTGAAGTACAGCTGCAGCAGGAGAAACGTGAAGCACAGCTGCAGCAAGAGGAACGTGAAGCAAGGCTGCAGCAAGAGGAACATGAGACACAGCTGCAACGGGAGGAACGTGAAAGCACAGCTGCAACAGGAGAAACGTGAAGCACAGCTGCAGCGGGAGGAACGTGAGAGACAGGTGCAGCTGGAAAAACGAGAAGCATAGCTGCAGCGGGAAGAATTTGAAGCACATCTGCAGCGGGAAGAATGTGAAGCACATCTGCAGCGGGAGGAACGTGAAGCACAGCTGCAACGAGAGGAACGTGAAGCACAGCTGCTTCGGGAGGAACGTGAAGCACAGCTGCAGCGAGAGGAGCGTGAAGCACAGCTGCATCATAGGAACGTGAAGCACAGCTGCAGCGGGAGTAACGTGAAGCACAGCTGCAGCTGGAGGAACGTGAAACTCACTGCCAGCAGGTAAAACGTGAAGCACAGTTGCAGCGGGAGGAACGTGAGACACGGCTGCAGCAGGAGGAACGTGAAGCACAGCTGCAGCTGGAGGAACGTGAAGAGCGTCTGAAGCGGGAGGAACATCAGGCACAGCTGCAGCGGGAGGAACGTGAAGCACAGCTGCAGCGGAGGGAACGTGAAGCACAGAAGAAGCAGGAGGAACGTGAACGTGAAGCACAGCTGCAGCGAGAAGAACGGGAAGCACAGAGGGAGCGGGAGGAACGTGAAGCAAAGCTGCAACGGGAGAAACGTGAAGCACCGCTGCAACGGGAGACGCGTGAAGCACAGCTGCAGCGGGAGGACCGTGAGACACAGATGAAGCGGGAGGAACGTGATGAATCGCTGCAGCGGGAAGAATGTGAAGCACAGCTGCAGCGGGAGTAACGTGAAGCACAGCTGCATTAGGTGGAACGTGAACGGGAAATACAGCTGCAGCGGGAGGAACGTCAAGCACAGCTGGAACGGGAAAAACGTGAAGCACAGGTGCAGCAGGAGAAACGTGAAGAACAGCTTCAGGGGGAGGAACGTGACACACAGATGCAGCGGGAGGAACGTGAAGCAAAGCTGCAGCAGGAGGAACGTGAAGCAAGGCTGCAGTGGGAGGAACATGAGACAGCTGCAGCGGGAGGAACGTGAAAGCACAGCTGCAGAGGGAGAAACGTGAAAGCACAGCTGCAGCGGGACAAACCTGAGAGACAAGTGCAGCTAAAAAAACGTGAAGCATAGCTGCAGCGGGAAGAATGTGAAGCACAACTGCAGCAGGAGGAATGTGAATCTCATTTGCAGCAGGAAAAACGTGAAGCACAGCTGCAGCGGGAGGAACGTGAGAGACAGGTGCAGCTGGATAAACGTGAAGCATAGCTGCAGCGGGAAGAATGTGAAGCACATCTGCAGCGGGAGGAACGTGAAGCACAGCTGCAACGAGAGGAACGTGAAGCATAGCTGCAGCGGGAGTAACGTGAAGCACAGCTGCAGCGGGAGGAACGTGAAACTCATTGGCAGCAGGAAAAACGTGAAGCACAGCAGCAGCGGGAGGAACGTGGGACACGGCTGCAGCGGGAGGAACGTGAAGCACAGCTGCAGCTGGAGGAACGTGAAGAGCGTCTGAAGCAGGAGGAACATCAGGCACAACAGCAGCAGGAGGAACGTGAAGCACAGCTGCAGCGGAAGGAACGTGAAGCACATAAGAAGCAGGAGGAACGTGAACGTGAAGCACAGCTGCAGCGAGAAGAACGTGAAGCACAGCAGGAGCGGGAGGAACGTGAAGCAAAGCTGTAACGGGAGGAACGTGAAGCACCTCTGCAACGGGAGACGAGTGAAGCACAGCTGCAGCGGGAGGACCGTGAGACACAGATGAAGCGGGAGGAACGTGAAGAATCGCTGCAGCGGGAGTAACGTGAAGCACAGCTGCAGGAGGTGGAACGTGAACGGGAAATACAGCTGCCTCTGAGAGGAACGTCAAGCACAGCTGGAGCAGAAGGAATGTCAAGCAAGGCTGTAGCAGGAGGAAACTCAGACACAGCTGCAACGGGACGAACGTGAAAGCACAGCTGCAACGGGAGAAACGTGAAGCACAATTGCAGCAGGAGAAACGTGAAGAACAGCTTCAGGGGGTGGAACGTGACACACAGATGCAGCGGGAGGAACGAGAAGCAAAGCTGCAGCAGGAGGAACGTGAAGAAAGGCTGCAATGGGAGGAACATGAGGCAGCTGCAGCGGGAGGAACGTGAAAGCACAGCTGCAGCGGGAGAAACGTGAAGCACAGCTGCAACGGGAGGAACGTGAGATACAAGTGAAGCTAAAAAACGTGAAGCATAGCTGCAGTGGGAAGAATGTGAAGCGCAACTGCAGCAGGAGGAACGTGAATCTCATTTGCAGCAGGAAAAACGTGAAGCACAGCTGCAGCGGGAGGAACGTGAGACACAGCTGTAGCTGGAGTAACGTGAAGCACAGCTGCAGCAGGAGGAACGTGAACGTGAAGCACAGCTGCAGCGGGAAGATCGTGAAGCACAGCTGCAGCGGGAGGAACGTGAAGCACAGCTGCAGTAGGTGGAACGTGAATGTGAAACACAGCTGCAGCAGAAGGAACGTCAAGCAAGGCTGCAGCAGGAGGAAAATGAGACACATCTGCAGCGGGAGGAACGTGAAAGCACAGCTGCAACGGGAGGAACGCGAAGCACAGGTGCAGCAGGAGAAACGTGAAGAACAGCTTCAGGGGGTGGAACGTGAAACACAGATGCAGCGGAAGGAACGTGAAGCACAACTTCAGCGGGAGGAGTGTGAATCACACAAGCTGCAGCGGGAGGACCGCGAAGAGCGTCTGTAGCATGAGGAACATGAGACACAGCTGCAGCGGAAGGAATGTGAAGCATAGCTGCAGCGGGGGTCAAGTGAAGTATAACTGCAGGGCGAGGAATGTGAAGCATTGCTGCAGCAGGAGAAACGTGAGACACAGCTGCAGCGGGAGGAACGTGATGCACGGCTGCATCTGTTGGAACGTGAAGCACAGTTGCAGCGGGAGGAACATAAATTACAGCTGCAGCGGGAGGAATGTGAACGGGAAGCACAGCTGCATACGGGAGGAACGTGAAGCACAGATGCAGCAGGAGGAACGTGAAGCACAGCTGCAGCTGGAAGAACGTGAGACACAGCTGCAGCGGGAGGAACGTGTAGCACAATTGCAGCTGGATGAACGTGAAACACAGCTGCAGCTGGAGGAAAGTGAAGCACAGCTGCAGCTGGAGGGAAGTGAAGCACAGCTGCAGCTGGAGGAACGTGATAGACAGCTGCAGGTGGAGGAACGTGAGACACAGCTGCAGCGGGAGGAACGTGTAGCACAATTGCAGCTGGAGGAACGTGAAGCACAGCTGTAGCTGGAGGAACGTGAAGCACAGCTGCAGCAGGAAGAACGGGAAGCACTGCTGCAGCTGGAGGAATGTGAAGCAAGGCTGCAGCGGGAGGAACAAGAGACACAACTGCAACGGGAGGAACGTGAAGCACAGCTCCAGCAGGAGGAACATGAGACACAGCTGCAGCAGGAAGAGCGTGAAGCACAGCTGCCGCGAGAGGAACGTGAAGAGAGGCTGAAGCGGGAGGAAAATGATACCCAGATGGACCGGGAGGAACGTGAAGCACAGCTGCAGCGGGACGAACGTGAAGCAAGGCTGCAGCTGGAAGGACCTGAAGCAAGGCTGCAGCGGAAAGAATGCGAAGCACATCTGCAGCAGGAGGAACGTGAAGACCACCTGCAACGAAAGGAACGTGAAGCACAGCTGCAGCTGGAGGAACGTGAAGCATAGCTGCAGCGATAGGAACATGAACGTGAAGCACAGCTGCAGCGAGAGAAGCGTGAAGCACAGCTGCAGCGAGAGGAGCGTGAAGCACAGTTGCATCAGAGGAACGTGAATCACAGCTGCAGCTGGAGTAACGTGAAGCACAGCTGCAGCAGGAGGAACGTGAAACTCATTGGCAGCATTTAAAACGTGAAGCACAGCTGAAGCGGGAGGAACGTGAGACACAGCTGCAGCAGGAGGAACGTGAAGCACAGCTGCAGCGGGAGGAACGTGAAACTCATTGGCAGCATTTAAAACGTGAAGCACAGCTGAAGCGGGAGGAACGTGAGACACAGCTGCAGCAGGAGGAACGTGAAGCACAGCTGCAGCGGGAGGAACGTGAAGAGAGGCTGTAGCGGGAGGAAAATTAGACCCAGATGGAGCGGGAGGTACGTGAAGCACAGCTGCAGCGGGGTACGTGGAGCAAGTCTGCAGCTGGAAGGACTTGAAGCAAGGCTGCAGCGGGAGGAGCGTGAAGAACTGTTCCAGCAGGAGGAACGTGTAGAGCGCCTGCAGCAGGAGGAACGTGGACCACAGCTGAAGCAGGAGGAACATGAGACTCAGCTGCAGTAGGAAGAACGGGAAGTACTGCTGCAGCTGGAGGAACGTGAAGCAAAGCTGCAGCGGGAGGAACGTGAAGCACAGCTGCAGCAGGAAGAACGGGAAGTACTGCTGCAGCTGGAGGAACGTGAAGCAAGGCTGCAGCGGGATGAACATGAGACACAGCTGCAACGGGAGGAACGTAAAAGCAAGGCTGCAAAAGGAGGAACATGAGAAACAACAGCAGCTATAGGAACGTGAAGCACAGCTCCAGCAGGAGGAACATGAGACACAGCTGCAGCAGGAGGAGCGTGAAGCACAGATGCAGCGGGAGAAACGTGAACCACAGCTGTAGCAGGAGGAACGTGAGACACAGCTGCAGCAGGAGGAACATGAAGCACAGCTGCCGCGAGAGGAACGTGAAGAGAGGCTGAAGCGGGAGGAAAATGAGACCCAGATGGACCGGGAGGAACGTGAAGCACAGCTGCAGCGGGACGAACGTGAAGCAAGGCTGCAGCTGGAAGTACGTGAAGCAAGGCTGCAGCGGGAGGAACGTGAAGAACTGTTGCAGCAGGAGGAACATGAGACACAACTGCAGCGGGAGGAACGTGAAGCACAGCTGCAACGTTAGGAACGCTAAGCACAGCTGCAACGGGAGGAACGTGAAGCACCGCTGCAACGGGAGACGCGTGAAGCACAGCTGCAGCGGGAGGAACCTGAGAGACAGGTGCAGCTGAAAAAACGTGAAGCATAGCTGCACGCGGGAAGAATGTGAAGCACATCTGCAGCGGTAGGAACGTGAAGCACAGCTGCAACGAGAGGAACGTGAAGCACAGCTGCAGCGGGAGGAACGTGAAGCACAGCTGCAGCTGGAGGAACGTGAAGAGCGTCTGAAGCGGGAGGAACATCAGGCACAACTACAGCGGGAGGAACGTGAAGCACAGCTGCAGCGGGAGGAACGTGAAGCAAGGCTGCAGCAAGAGGAACATGAGACACAGCTGCAACGGGAGGAACGTGAAAGCACAGCTGCAGCAGGAGAAACGTGAAGCACAGCTGCAGCGGGAGGAACGTGAGAGACAGGTGCAGCTGGAAAAACGTGAAGCATAGCTGCAGCGGGAAGAATTTGAAGCACATCTGCAGCGGGAAGAATGTGAAGCACATTTGCAGCGGGAGGAACGTGAAGCACAGCTGCAACGAGAGGAACGTGAAGCACAGCTGCTTCGGGAAGAACGTGAAGCACAGCTGCAGCGAGAGGAACATGAACGTGAAGCACAGCTGCAGCGAGAGGAGCGTGAAGCACAGCTGCATCATAGGAACGTGAAGCACAGCTGCAGCGGGAGTAACGTGAAGCACAGCTGCAGCTGGAGGAACGTGAAACTCACTGCCAGCAGGTAAAACGTGAAGCACAGTTGCAGCGGGAGGAACGTGAGACACGGCTGCAGCGGGAGGAACGTGAAGCACAGCTGCAGCTGGAGGAACGTGAAGAGCGTCTGAAGCGGGAGGAACATCAGGCACAGCTGCAGCATGAGGAACGTGAAGCACAGGTGCAGCGGGAGGAACGTGAAGCACAGAAGAAGCAGGAGGAACGTGAACGTGAAGCACAGCTGCAGCGAGAAGAACGGGAAGCACAGCGGGAGCGGGAGGAATGTGAAGCAAAGCTGCAACGGTAGAAACGTGAAGCACCGCTGCAACGGGAGATGCGTGAAGCACAGCTGCAGCGGGAGGACCGTGAGACACAGATGAAGCGGGAGGAACGTGAAGAATCGCTGCAGCGGGAAGAATGTGAAGCACAGCTGCAGCGGGAGTAACGTGAAGCACAGCTGCAGGAGGTGGAACGTGAACGGGAAATACAGCTGCAGCGGGAGGAACGTCAAGCACAGCTGGAGCAGAAGGCATGTCAAGCAAGGCTGTAGCAGGAGGAAAATCCGACATAGCTGCAACGGGAGGAACGTGAAAGCACAGCTGGAACGGGAAAAACGTGAAGCACAGGTGCAGCAGGAGAAACGTGAAGAACAGCTTCAGGGGGAGGAACGTGACACACAGATGCAGCGGGAGGAACGTGAAGCAAAGCTGCAGCAGGAGGAACGTGAAGCAAGGCTGCAGTGGGAGGAACATGAGACAGCTGCAGCGGGAGGAACGTGAAAGCACAGCTGCAGAGGGAGAAACGTGAAGCACAGCTGCACCGGGAGAAACGTGAGAGACAAGTGCAGCTAAAAAAACGTGAAGCATTGCTGCAGCGGGAAGAATGTGAAGCACAACTGCAGCAGGAGGAATGTGAATCTCATTTGCAGCAGGAAAAACGTGAAGCACAGCTGCAGCGGGAGGAACGTGAGAGACAGGTGCAGCTGGAAAAACGTGAAGCATAGCTGCAGCGGGAAGAATGTGAAGCACATCTGCAGCGGGAGGAACGTAAAGCATAGCTGCAGCGGGAGGAACGTGAAACACAGCTGCAGCGAGAGGAACATGAACGTGAAGCCAAGCTGCAGCGAGAGGAGCGTGAAGCACTGCTGCATCAGAGGAACGTGAAGCACAGCTACAGCGGGAGTAACGTGAAGCACAGCTGCAGCTGGAGGAACGTGAAGAGCGTCTGAAGCGGGAGGAACATCAGGCACAACTGCAGCAGGAGGAACGTGAACGTGAGGCACAGCTGCAGCGGGAAGATCGTGAAGCACAGCTGCAGTGGGAGGAACGTGAAGCACAGATGCAGCGGTTGGAATGTGAGAGACTGATGCTGCGGGAGGAACGTGAAGCATCGCTCCAGCGGGAAAAATGTGAAGCAGAGCTGCAGCGGGAGGAACGTGAAGCACAGCTGCAGGAGGTGGAACGTGAATGTGAAACACAGCTGCAGCAGAAGGAACGTCAAGCAAGGCTGCAGCAGGAGGAAAATGAGACACATCTGCAGCGGGAGGAACGTGAATGCACAGCTGCAACGGGAGGAACGCGAAGCACAGGTGCAGCAGGAGAAACGTGAAGAACAGCTTCAGGGGGTGGAACGTGAGACACAGATGCAGCGGAAGGAACGTGAAGCACAACTTCAGCGGGAGGAGTGTGAATCACACAAGCTGCAGCGGGAGGAACGCGAAGAGCGTCTGAAGCATGAGGAACATGAGACACAGCTGCAGCGGAAGGAATGTGAAGCATAGCTGCAGCGGGGGTCAAGTGAAGTATAACTGCAGGGCGAGGAATGTGAAGCACTGCTGCAGCAGGAGAAACGTGAGACACAGCTGCAGCGGGAGGAACGTGATGCACTGCTGCATCTGTTGGAACGTGAAGCACAGTTGCAGCGGGAGAAACATAAATTACAGCTGCAGCGGGAGGAATGTGAACGTGAAGCACAGCTGCATACGGGAGGAACGTGAAGCACAGATGCAGCAGGAGGAACGTGAAGCACAGCTGCAGCTGGAGGAACGTGAGACACAGCTGCAGCGGGAGGAACGTGTTGCACAATTGCAGC